GGAATAGTAGTGTTTCTCCAGACTAATTCTTTTCTTAGTAATAAGGGCAAACATATGGATCTATGTATATGCAGAACACTTTTAGAGATTGAAGCCAAAGCTTCCAGCAGTAGAACACCTTCCCTTGAGTGGCTTTTTCATTTGTTTTTCACACATACTTTAAGGGATGGGACAGGCATCTTGTTATTTCATTCACTCTCCACTATTGTATAGTGAAGAACTTCATTTAAGTGAGTTTATTTTCATCGAGTACCTTTCCTCTCTCTTAATTGGAAACTTTCCTTTTACTTTTACTCATTTTCTCTTTTTTTTTAGTGCATTTCATTTTCTTTTGTCGTTTATTCTTTCAGTGCATGAAGAGCATGGCAATTTCACACCATTGTTCAATGTGAAAGCATCCCAAAATAGATAGGTCTTTGGTCTCCTATAAGAAAAGCTGGTCTCTTGTAAGAAGTTTCATGATTGTGACAATAAATTTGCATGTCTGGTCATTCTGATGACTTCTCATCAGTTGGTGCAGCTTGCCCAAACTTTACCCACCACACTTGGGGATGGACCTCCAAAACAGAGTAACTGTCCATCAAGGTTTTTCACATAGAACTGACTCTTCTGATGGCTGTATTGCCACCATCCATTCATTGATGCTTCAGTAAATTTTGGGCGTTAAATAATCTGTTGTTAACAAGGTACATGAGTCACATTGAAGAAGACTGAGACTGGATTGAGAAATAAGAGCATGGATTCAATATCCTTACCTTGGCTATAATTGGCCAGTTTTCAAGGGAAAGAGATGAAAGCATGTGCCATACGGGACATATTTTGGTACTGTAGATTTTTTGATATCACAAACTACTTGGTTCCCTTCCAGTACTGAACAAAGAGTATGATTGTTCTCATTATTTTCATTACATATTTGCTGTTTGCTTTGTGTCTTGTCATCCAAGCATTGTCTGGTCTGCTTTGCTATGTGGTTTTTCCTCTCATTTTTCTTGCTTTGTCACCATTATCTATATGCCCTCTAATTAATAGCCACTAGGCCCTGCTTCCCACATATTGACACATATTTTTCTGTGGAACAATTTGGAATGTTACTGTATATTAAAAGAGGCTCTTCTTATTAGCCAGAAAGGTGTCATTATCTTGTTGACTGATTTCTAAGCAAAAAAGAAAAAGAAAGAAAAAGGTTCCAATGCAAGTTCTATCTTTGATGAGGCTTGAAGGCAATTTAGAAAAAAAAATGTTGGTTACATATATATTCTCCAGCAAGTCAAATGATGTCATTTGAATCAGGCCCTGTCAGTTTATGTGTATTTAGAAGATTTCGATGTAATTGCTTTTATTCCATAGTTGAAAGTATAATAGTTCAGTATAATATATTTGAAATTATGGGCGTGCCTGACCACCTTATCCATCTCCTGAGAAACCTATATATGGGACAGGAAGCAACATTTAGAACTGGATATGGAACAACAGATTGGTTCAAAACTGGGAAAGGAGTACGACAAGGCTGTATATTGTCCCCCTGCTTATTTAACTTATATGCAGAATACATCATGCGGAAGGCTGGACTGGAGGAATCCCAAGCTGGAATTAAGATTGCCGGAAGAAATATCAACAACCTCCGATATGCAGATGATACCACTCTGATGGCGGAAAGTGAGGAGGAACTAAAGAACCTTGTAATGAGGGTCAAAGACGAGAGTGCAAAAAATGGTCTGAAACTCAACATCAAAAAAACTAAGATCATGGCCACTGGTCCCATCACCTCCTGGGAAATAGAAGGGGAAGATATGGAGGCAGTGTCAAATTTTATCTTCCTGGGCTCCATGATCACTGCAGATGGAGACAGCAGCCCTGAAATTAAAAGGCGCCTTCTTCTTGGGAGGAAAGCAATGACAAACCTTGACAGCATCTTAAAAAGCAGAGACATCACCTTGCCAACAAAAGTCCGAATAGTCAAAGCTATGGTTTTTCCTGTAGTGTTGTATGGAAGTGAGAGCTGGACCATAAGGAAAGCTGACCGCCGAAGAATTGATGCCTTTGAATTGTGGTGCTGGAGGAGACTCTTGAGAGTTCCCTGGACTGCAAAGAGAACAAACCTATCAATTCTAAAGGAAATCAACCCTGAGTGCTCATTGGAAGGACAGATCCTGAAGCTGAGGCTCCAGTACTTTGGCCATCTCATGAGAAGAGAAGACTCCTTGGAAAAGACTTTGATGTTGGGAAAGTGTGAAGGCAAGAGGAGAAGGGGACGACCGAGGATGTGATGGTTGGACAGTGTCATCGAAGCAACCAACATGAATTTGACACAACTCCGGGAGGTGGTGGAAGATAGGAGGGCCTGGCGTGCTCTGGTCCATGGGGTCACGAAGAGTCGGACACGACTAAACGACTGAACAAAAAACAAAACTGTGGGGCTGGAAAGGACTCTGGATCAGAGTCCAGCTCCTGTCAAAAAGGCATTCTCAGCCTCTGGTTCTTTAGCCACATACTTAAACTACTAAGCTATCCAGCATTTTTCCTTCTTCTCAAAGTAATACAGTGGTTTTGGGAAATAAATCTAGTGGCTGAGGTTCACTGAACACCCCCTGTCATTGGAACCTTCCTTATGTTAAGGGCATTAAATGAGAAGGGTTTAGATGCCTTCTGTTGCTGAAGTGAAACTGGCATCTGATAAGAATATGATTAGTTTGGTCAATGGCAGCTCATTTACATGGATACATGCAACTCTATCTCCTTACTAACTCATGAAAGAACCTTGCAATATTAAGCTGCTGGCAGGCAGGAAGTGTATACATGCCATCCCTTGAGAACTGAAACGAAGGAGGGTATATTCTGGAAATGGAAATAAACGAAAGAAGTATAAGGAAAAGAATAATGTCAAACTACACATCTGTGCTATATGATTAAAACAAATATTTAAGAACAGATGTTGTAGTCCTTCATTGATGGGTTTTGGTACTTTGCAGTACAATTGTTTTCATCTTTCACATTTCTTTCCTCAAAACTAACTTTTATTGTTTTGTTTAGAAGCAAAATGGCAGGCAGAGGAAATGAAATCTGCCAGTCCAAAGTCATATAAAATTTTTGTGGAGGAAAAACCATGAATAGTTCCATTATTTTCAGTCTCCATTTGGTTATTCAGAAAAATACTTTTCTATGAGATTAAGTGGAATAAGAGAATGGAGACAGTTGTAGGGGAGGGAGAGTGGCAGATTCTAATAGTAATGCCTTTTACACTGGATAATAGTCTCCCAGAGGATTGAAATAAGATCAGTTACTTGCATTATTTATAAAAGGGCTGGACAAAGTATCTAGCAGGCTATAGGGAAACTGGCAATTGTGGGTAAAGACATGCTAAGCTATTTATTCAAGTATCTTTTAATTTTTTTAATTACATGTATAGTTATATACATGAAGTACTGTGACCTGAAGTGTAGTCAGGGGACATGTATCCATACAGAGTATGTCATTTCAAATGACATTTAGTTAAAAAAAAGTATTCCAGAAAAATAACCCTAATTGTAACACATACCTATTTTCTTCTTGCTAACAGTACGCAACTGTGCAAGAATCTATCTAAATAGAAGCAACTGATGCTTGTATAGCTCTGTGACAAACAAAAACTTTGCTGTCCCCTTTAATTGTGGCCCTAAATGAATGGCACTTTCAGTATGAGCACCGATGCTGAACTCCAGTAAAATTTATTTTGAAGTAAAAGTGGGGAGGCTAGTCCATCCCCATGACCCATTGTAGCCACATTATCTTTTAAAAGGTTAAAAAAAATGGAGAGATCTAAATGGGAAATGAGTGTGTATCCACTTCCAGTTCCAATATCAGAGGGTTCCTGCTATTTGCAAGGGCTTTCAAGAGCAGAAAATGAACTTTTGCAGCCTTCTCTCTCTCTCTCTCTCTCTCTCTTTGTGGGGGGAAGAGGGGTGTTAAAAATACCCTGGTATATTTGCCTTGGTCACACTTTGCCCAGTGCTACCCTGAACTGAAAGGATAGCCATTGTAATTTATGGGAAAACCTTGTGTTTTGCTTATCTGATAGTATTTAATGCTATGCTGGACCATGCTGAATGAAGTGGTCATACAAAAAAGTAAAATATCTGTTACCTAACATAAATGCGCCATTTCAGTAAAATACCGCCTTCTGTAATAGCTCTTGAAATCTTAATTTATTGAGATGTGGATTGTAACAAGTTTGTCCGGCAACTTGCTGCTGCTTTTCAACATTCAGTTTATTACGTAATTTGAATTAGTCATTATTGCAGTTGGCCATGTTAGTTTTGATGCTTGCTTAGTCAAAAATGCAACTTACTAAATTGCTGGGCAGAATGAAGACAGTTCAAGAAAATACTCAAATGTGCTGTAGTGATTCTATCACAAAATGAAGCATCCAAATCTTTATAAAGCCCTTTCAAACTGTTTTCTATATATTTCTGTGAACTATTATTCTTCAACGTGGTTCTCCATGAATCCGTATATATTTCTGTGAACTATTATTTTGCTTCCGTGCAGGACATTTTATGTTATAGGAAAAAGTTTGAAAAAGAATGCCGTGCAGGACATTTCATGTTATAGGAAAAAGTTTGAAAAAGAATGAATGGTTTAAAATTTAATAGCTAATATTTATAAGGTTATAACAAACTTGAAGTATTGTTCCAACGCCAATCTGCTTTATGGCATCTCTGGGTGGCATCTCTCGATGCCAAGGTCCAGGGGAGAGGAAAATGCCCTATAAAGACCTTCAAGGGCATGTCACAAAATAAGGAAGTCAGCACAAGAAAATATGAAACACAGTTAATTAAAATAGCATAAAACATATCAAGTAATAAATGTAGCGAACATTTCAGTATTAAAAAAATGGCCCTGCATTTAGTTGGTCTTTTGCTTGATGTACAAAGCAGCAAGCCTTAAATGTATTTAGCCATGTCTGCTCTTTCAGTGTGGTAATGCACAGATAATTCTTATTTTTCTTTTCTTTTTCTTTTTAGGCTTCTCCCACAGAATGTTGGATTGCTTTATGTTGGAAATTTTGATAGACCTTTTGCACAAATTAAGGTAAGAACATTTTGTGTGTCTGTTTTTTGTATGTTGCTGTATTCTTTCGCTTCTAATTTTTTTTATCTCCAAGTATCGTCGGTAGTATAAGGAATACAGTGTATGTTTCTTTCTTTTTATAAAAGCACACTTGCTATCTTTCTTTGTTTTCTAAAAGCACATTATTTACAAACACATTTTGAAATATTGATTGAAGGTGATTCAGAAATATATTTCTGTGTTCACAGAAAATAGAAACAAACTGTTGGTAACAGATTTTCTGCTGATTGTGGATAAATATCCCACAATACATATTATCCAAAACAACATGAATTGGATGGACTGTTGACACTAGACCCCAATATGTTTTGTGTCTTTTCTTTAGATACAAGTAATTCACATTGATGGTCTTCACATTCATTTAAGTTTAATTGTGCCAAATATGGAGCCCTTTCTGAATAATTCAGACAACAATTATTGATCAAGTGAATTGTTAGGGTAGGCTGTCCCCCTTAGACTGTAAGTCCTTTCAACCCTATACTGTAATCAGCATTTTGTACTTAATATCTTTCATCCATTTGCTCTCGTGTGAGTCCTGCATAACGAAAGAAATCAGAATGGACGGAGCTAAATTCATCCATACAGCCGAAAGTTAAATGTCCTGAGCCAGGTTTGTGTACACACTGAAGGAAGACTGCTTTCCTACTTTAAAGAATTTGGAGTACAGTGTGGTATTACAGATATAAATGTAAAACTGTGACCATTATTGTGGATGAAACAGTCTCAAGATTTTTATGCCTGTGAACCCTTTTCTACAGCATATTTTTGCTGAGCTGTCCATATTCCTAATTCCTGAAAAATCATGCCTAAATACTCAAAAGACTCCTGGGAGTCAGAGTTTGAAATTGTTGTATTGCTTCAGCAGCATTGTTGGCAGTGAAAATGGCATTTTGGGCCTTCGTATATTCCTCAGTCTGCAGTATTGAGTCAGCACAAGATCCAATACTGGTAACTAGAGATGGGCACAAACAGGAAAAATAATAAATTGGGGTGGTTCATGGCTACATTTGTTTTATTTGGAATGGCGTTATCTAGTTGCTTTACATTACTTCTTATCGGGGGGAGCTTTCTAGGTCTGATGGTGTTAGGACTTGGTAACTCAGCCAGTATTTGGAGTCTCCTTTTTGCTGAACCATGTTCTAGAAGAGATAGTATTTGCAAGTCCGCATCTTTGGCCTTAAAACTCCCTACGCATCCTTCTTTTACTATGAATCTAGGGGAAATAAGTTTCCATGAGGATACTCCATTGACTTTTCTCCCTTGTACTTCTTGATAACTGTGTTGCTCAGTTTGACTCACCTATTTTGCAAGTCCAATAATATGCTGTGTTCCTTGTGGCGCAGTGGTTAAACTGCTGTACTGCAGCCAAACTGTGCTCACGGCCTGGGGTTCAAATCCCAGGTAGACAACTCAAGGTTGACTCGGCCTTCTATCCTTCCGAGGTTGGTAAAATGAGTACCCAGCTCTCAGGGGGGGGGGCGCTAATGTGTAGTCTGCGTAATTAACTTGTGCTTAAGCGCTGTGGGATGATATGTGAGTGGCATACTTTGCTTTGCTTTCCTTTTTGGGAATATTAACAGAGGAACACATCAGTTCTTCCACTGAGTCTGAACAGTCTGGCAGATTAGAGGCTGACCTTTTGCTGTCTATCTTACTTGAATCTGTCTGTAAATGGTTGGGGAACTTTCCTAAGTAGGTATATTTCCCATCTTTCCCTGAGATTTTCCTCTCTGTTCAAGACATTCACTATCTCTGTCCAGCCAGGTTACTAATCTAAATGGGCATTCATTTCCCTTGAAATTCTCCTTTCTTTCTACTTCTTCCATGCAAGAGGAGAGGAGAGGTCTTATTACTGTCAAAATACCACTCCTTTCTGCTATAAGTGTCTTTTTCTTTTCATAATTAAGGATGGAAACTTTGGTGTGGACAGTTCTTAGGTGTTGTGCGTTTTTAAAAATCCTCTGCACTGGTTTTCAGTCTATATTGCTTGATAAAGGGCCCAACAATAACTTCAGGGGTGGAATAGAGATCCCCGGTTGGAAATCACCCCCCTGTCAGATTGTACATGAAAAATAATAATATCACATGGCCTCAATCTAAGCCTAATCATTTGCCTGAGAGCTTTCTTTGCTTTGATATTATTATAGGAACGTGAATTACTGTTATCATTAATTTGCTCATCTTCAATATTGATAGTTACAGTGGGGTCTCTACTTAAGAACTTAATCCGTATTGGAAGGTGATTCTCAAGTTGAAAAGTTCTTATGTTGAATCTGCATTTCCCATAGGAATGCATTGAAAACCATTTAATCCATATCTGCTCTTTTCCGTCCATAGAAACTACAGTGGAACCTCTACTTAAGAACTTAATCCGTTTTGGAATGGTGTTCTTAAGTTGAAACGTTCTTAAGTTGAAGCAAAATTTCCCATAGGAATGGACTGAAAACCAATTAATCCGTTCTGGCTGTTTTTTTGTTATGTAGAGGTGCGTTCGTACATTGAAGCATTTGTTCCCATAGGAACTAATGCAAAGCTGGTTAATACGTACTCTACCACTAGGGGGAGAATTTTTTTTAACCTAAGATGACCTAAGGTTAAAAAAAGAGCAGGAAAGGTTTTTTTCCTGTTCTTATCTTGGATTTCTATTCTCAAGTAGAAGCAAAATTTAGCAAATGGAGCTGTTCTTAAGTTGGATTGTTCTTAAGTAGAGACGTTCTTAAGTAGAGACCCCACTGTATGTGGCAGCAGCTTATCCTATCCACCAGCCCATCTAGTTTCCCAGCTGTGCAGCAAAACTATTTACAATTGGATTTGACAATCTAGCTAGTTGGCATACACTGCTCTCGAAGTAATTTCATTTGATCATCAAAATTTCTAGTCATGTCAGTTATTAGAGGGGGTTGATTTGCTGATTGCTTACTAGTTCTCTCAGCACCATTTGGAGTTTACAGATTCACTGGTGTAATGGGTCAAATTGATTCTTAGGTGGTGTAATCAGTTCCCCAGAACTACATTTACTTGCAGATAAAGAAAAATGTTTATTCACTATTCTCTGTTTAATATCTGGTAGCAGTGCATTTTCATCTCTGTATAAGTTCCTGGGTATTTTAATTTTAATTTTCCGCATCTTCATAGTTTCCAACTATCACCAGGGCCCAATTTTTTGTTAATACTTCAGTGCGAAAAAGTCTATTCCTGCTGTAATATCAGTTACAGACTTCTAGAAATGACTCATCTGTTTAATCTTCTTAAGGCGTTATTAGGCATGGTCCCAGAGCTTCAAACCCTCAAACCAGTAAAGCAAAACTCCCAATTGGAAAATAATGAAGCTGACTATACAATATTACTGGTTCCCATTACCAAGTATAAAATATTGGAGAATAACAAATAACACATATATGTTGAGCTTCCCCCCCTCTTGGGGGGGAAGGGGGGTAGCAGTCTCCACCTGGTACCTCCATAAGAACATAAGAAGAGCCTTGCTGGATCAGGCCAAGGGCTCATCTAATCCAGCTTCCTGTATCTCATAGTGGTCCCACCTCTGGCCTCTGGGATCACATGAGACAACTAGATACAGTGGTGCCTTGACTTACGTACTTAATCTGTTCCGGAAGATGGTTGTAACTGGAAATGGTCATAAGTTGAAGCACCATTTCCCATTGAAATGTAATTAATCCATGAAAAAAATCACCAGAAAAAAACCACTGCAAGACCGATTGGAAACACGATTAGAAAAAAATCACCAAAAAAACCCCACTGCAAGACCGATTGGAAACACGATTAATCCATTCCGGCTGAAGGGGGGGCGGAGAAAAGCAAGGCAAGCGTACAAGACCCATCAGAAGTGCAAAAAAAGCAAAGCGGAAAGCAAGCTAAACGTGCAAGATCCATCGGAAATGCAGAAAAAGTGAAGCAGAAAGCAAGCCAAGGGTGCAGGGCCCATCAGAAATGCAGAAAAAGCAAAGCAGAAATCAAGCCAAGCGTGCAAGACCCATCAGAAATGGGGAGGGGAACCCACAAAACAACCCCCCCAAGACCCATCAGAAATGTGGGGGGAAAACCTCCAAAAAGCAAGCAAACCCCCCAGAGACCCATTGGAAATGGGGGAAAAAACCCAAAAACAAACCCCCCAAGACCCATCACAGCACAGAAACATAACCCTCCCAGCCCAGCAAAACTCACCCAGAACAGTTTTTTAAAAACAGTAAGCAGCACCTTACTTTATCAGGCAGTCCAAAGCCTCCTCCGAACGCACACTCTCTAACCACTGGTGCGAAAGAGCTACAAAGAAGCAACCTCTTTCCCTACCAACAGTTAGCAATTTGAATTTTCTGCTTTTTTTCCCCCTGCCTTTTTCTGTTTGTAACTGGAAGCTCCAGCCGCAAGTCGAAGCAAAATTTTGCTGCCGGAGCTGGTCATAACTCGAAATGGTTGTAAGTCGGGACATTCATAAGTCAAGACACCACTGTACCTGTCTCCTGATGCCCCTCACCTGGCATTTGGAGGTACCTTCCTTTTAAGCCTGGAGATTATACATCCCCATCATGGCTTGAAACCTGCGATGGACTTTTGCTCCAGAAATCTGTCCAATCCCCCTTTAAAGGCACCTAGGCCAAATGCCATCATCACATTCTTGACAAGGAGTTATTTCCAGATATCACTGCACCGTGATAGTCCCATAAGCAATAAAATAGGTAGAAAAAGAGGACATCCTTCCAGATTTGCTTGCTTGGCTCAGTTCTGTTGGCTTATTAATAAACTGTGAGAGATGCTGCTAGCCTCCACATCAAACAGAAAGGGATAAATACTTTTTCTCAACAGAGGAAATATTTCAAAAACACAGAAAAAGCTCTTAAAACATGCAGATCTATTATGATCCTTGAGAAAATAACACTGTGTGAGAGGCACCAATTTTTGACAGAATAGGTTGTTTTCCCCCTGTGAAGTGAGTGTAGTGTGAG